TCTAGAATATGTTCTCCAAATTTATTTTACCTGTAATTTTTTTTTCTCTAATTTTAAGGTAGTTTTATTAGTTTGCTCATACCTCAGAGAAGAAATACCATTACCAAGAAATACTGTTACCATGGAGTAATATGTATTGTTGATACTAGTATAATTTTTAATTGTAAATGATCCTTAATTTCATTTTGTTTTCATGGAATTAATATTTGATCTGTGTGGCTAGAAATGTATTAATCTAGTAATTAATGTACATTATGCCAGAAACCTTTTGAAGCATTTTTGAGACATTCTAGTAGGTGTTATAAATAGTGCAACAGATTTTATGTATTTTTTATATCTACAAAAGAGTTGGTATATGAAAATACATATTTCACAGTACTTCTTCATGGACTAGTTCATTTGTACTGGCAGATGTTGGTGTCATCAGTGACTTGAAATACAAAAGGGATGTTCTACAGGACATCCTTAATAGGGTTATTAAGGATTTTTTGATCAATAAATTTGTGAAAAGTTTGGCATTATTTAGAGGTGAAAAATTGAAGGATAAAACACCTTGGAAAAATCTTCACTTTGTCTGACACTTGTAAATTATATTATAGTTTGGAGACAGAAGTTCTCTATCCACAATATGAAAGCATCTTATTATGCCTTACTTAAATGAAGTGGCTTCTCAATGTCTTCCAGTTGATTGAATGCACAGGTTCTTTGCCATCCCAACCTAGGTGGGGGCATTGGCATATTTTTTGACAAAATAATTTATTCACCTGGGTATGCACAGACATCATACTACTAAAAATGTATTATTGACTTTAGGCCAATATCTAGATGTTGTGGCTTTGGCTGAACATAGTTAAAAGGCTATGCTGTCCCAAGTTCTGTCATAATTAAGCAGCTAAGTCATGTTCACAAGTTGTTATATGCTAGATTTGGAAAAAAATGAATTAGGGAGGAATATAATATTTTTAGAAGATGGTAGCTATCCTGTGTTCCTACCTGGATGCTCTAAAAACAAATAGTGCTATGTATTGTAGAAAATCCAAGTGTCCAAGAAAGGTATAAAGAAGAAATCAAACATTCTGTTAAATATCACTCACTTTCCTATAAAAACACTCCTCAGTGTTTTGCAGAATGTCTTCCTAGACTCCATTCTATCTGTGTGTATGTATGTGGCTTAAATGGTATTCTGTATGTTATGTTTTAAATTCTGCTTTTGATACCTAAAGTATGATATACATGACTTTTCATATCTAAGAAAATAAATATGTAAGTATAACATCCACTACACTTAGTTAACCAGGTTTATATATTTTTATGGACATTTAGGAATTTTTCTTTCATTTGAAATAAGTAGTTTGTATAAAAATTTGTCAGATATATTTCTATAAAGGGAATTAGTCAGGGATGTGCACATTTATCATTTTGATAAATAGAACTATGTTGTTACCCAGAAAATTTGTATTCCCAATTACAGTATGTAAGATTGCATGTTTTTACTCTTTAGTCAACACTGAATGATATCCATCATCTTCATCTTTGGCAATCTGATTAATCACAGACAATATCTTTATTTTTAATTTTTTATTCTTTTATCATACTCATGGCTTTAAATATTGATACCATATGTAATCTGACATATCCGTCTTATACCTTATAATCCAGACTTGAAATATTCAACTACCTCTAATACTAGACATCTTGTAATACTTATTTGAACTTGTCCAAAATTGAACCCCTGACACTTCACTCAAACTGGTTTCTTGCTGCTATTTTGCATATCAGTTAATGGCTAATCCATCATTGCATTGCCCAGATCACAAATATTGGAGTTGTGCTTACCTCCGCCTTTTTGTGTCTCGTGCTTCGTATCTAGGTCCCTTCTCAAAACCTGTTCACTTTCAGAAGATATTTAGAATTCTACTACTTCTCTTCACATCTGTGACCATCTCCTGCTGTATGGCTGTTGCTTCTCTGCTTTTTGTTGTCCCCTATATTTTGTTGTCAAACAGCCTATCATGGCATCCTGTTAAATGTCAGGTGAATTGTGCTCATCATCTGCTCAAAACCCTGCAGAAAATTACATCTCTCTCAGAATAAAAGACAATTCCTCCACTGGCCAGCCAGGCCATGCATGATTTGCTTCTCCTCCTCTACTTCTCCCATTCTTTTGACTGTATCTCCCCATTCTCTGCTTCTTTCACATGGCTCCGATCACGCTAGCTTCCATGATGTTTCCTACCTAGGTCACCCAAATACCTGCCCTTGCTCCCTCACATCCATCAAATCTTCTCTCATACGTCACCTTCTCAGCTAGAATTTTCTTGATTACCTATTTAAAATAGCTACTCAATACTCTGAAATATTTTCTGTCTTCTTTCTTGCTTTATTTTTCTCCATCACATTTATCCCTTTCTAATACAGTACATACTTTTTCATTTGTTTATTGTCTTCCTCCTTCTGCTACTGTAAAAGCTTTGTGATAGCAGGGACAGTCTTTTTGTTTCATGGCTGTATGCTCAGCATCTAAAATAGGACTCACTAGTGCAGGCATGAAGTACATATCATAGACCTGGCACAAAATAAAATGATGAATGAAATTTTAGGAGTGCAGTTTGGAAGGGAGTCCCTTTGTCCATTTTCATTTTTTCTTATTAACATGCCATAACTTCTTAGCAACATTACACTTTTGTTTTATGTTGCAGATATTTGCTTTGTCATCAAAGATTTTTGCTTTGCAGCTTTAACTGTATTTATTTCTCTCATCTCAATGTATGGTTTTCTACCTTGCTTGGAAAGTCTTTCCAGACTCAAAAGTCATTTAAAAATTTACCCAGAGTTTCTTCTAGTGTATTTAAAGTGTTATTCTTCATTTTAAGAAAAATACCTGAATTGATTTGCAGTTTCTCTTACTGTAAGGTGAGTAGTAGAACCAACTTTACTTTTTCCTGAATATCTAGTCATTTGCCTCAAAGCCATTTACTAAACTTTCTACTCTTTTCCCACCAATTTTAAATGCCATATTTTTCCTGTACTAAATGTTCATGTATTTTATATAATACAAGAAACCTACTTGTTTGTCTGTATAATTGATCTATGTATTTCCGTACTGTCATTTTCATTTCTGTGGCTAAATAGCACACTGGATTATCTATAATTTATCCTGACTTTTTTTCTTTTTTTTTTTTTTTTTGAGATGGAGTCTCACTTTGTCATCAGGCTGGAGTGCAGTGGCGTGATCTTGGCTCATAACAACCTCCAACTCCCTGGTTCAAGTGATCCTCCTGCCTCAGCCTTCCGAATAACTGGGATTACAGGCATGTGCCACCACACCCAGCTAATTTTTCTATTTTTAGTAGAGATGGAATTCCACCATGTTGGCCAGTATGGTCTCGATCTCCTGACCTCGTGATCTGCCTGCCTTGGCCTCCCAAAGTGCTTAGATTATAGGCATGAGCCACTGTGCCCAGCCATATCCTGACTCTTAAATATCTGTTCTTTCATGCTTTCTCTATATCTTTCACAACTAAAACCAAGCAGGAAAATGTCATTCTCACCAACTTTATGCTAAGAGGTTATGCTTGTATCTTTAATATTATGTCTACTGAACTAAGAGATATATAAATTAATAGGCTTCAAATAAAGTGACTTTTCTTTAAATTAGTTTTTTTGTTTTTATGTCACACATATTACAAAAACCTATCCGTTATATGATTTGTTTTATGTTAATGAGATCATAATTCAATTTTTGCTATTTTTTAAGCATTTATGAGACTCATTATGACATCTATAGTAGAATAAGATTTTATTTAATGATTTGTGCCAAATGGGTTTATACTGATTTGTAATGTACAAGAGGTGGAGTGAGCAGCTTTTGCTGTGTTGTTTTGGTTTTGGTTTCAAATTTTAGATCTAGTTAGTGGCTTTTCATTGTTTCTTGTTTGTCAGTTTATTTTTGTTTCTTATGTGCCTGGATGCTTAAATCATTTGCGGGACCTATGCTGTTTGACCTTCACAGGTTACTGCAACTTTTTTTTTTTTTTTTTTTTTTTTTTGAGATGGAGTTTCGCTGTTGTTACCCAGGCTGGAGTGCAATGGCATGATCTCGGCTCACCGCAACCTCCACCTTCTGGGTTCAAGCAATTCTCCTGCCTCAGCCTCCCAAGAAGCTGGGACTATAGGCGTGCACCACCATGCCCAGCTAATTTTTATATTTTTAGTAGAGATGGGGTTTCACCTTGTTGACCAGGATGGTCTCGATCTCTTGACCTTGTGATCCACCTGCCTTGGCCTCCCAAAGTGCTGGGATTACAGGCTTGAGCCTCCACCCCCAGCCCTACTGCAACTTTTTGAACCCTAGTTTTCTCATTTGTAAACTGGAGTCAATAATAGTGTTTTATTAATCCAGTTACTATTGTAATTAAAAGAAATGATTTATATTAAGTGTTTAGAATAGCATTTGACACAAATTATATATTTAATGAATGTTGTTAATTAGGGTGAGGTATAACATGAATAAGTGCTCTAGTGTAATTTAGGGGAAAAGCAGCACCTAAGACTAAAAATTATTTGAAGTGATCCAGTGAAGTTGAGGGAAAAGGGTGAAAACAGTTTCCCTTTTAATAATTTCCTTTATCTATATTGCAAATGTTGTACCAACAGAGTAAAAGCCTGGCCAGTGACAGAGGAGGCTTAGCTTTCAGAGAAAGTAGACACAATTTCACTACAAAGTAGGCCATGAGAAATATCTGTGTGTATTCAGATTTAGCAATTTGAGATAATAGGAATATTTTTAAAATAATTTATCAAATTAATAATGTGAGCATTTGAAAGTTATTTTTTTATCTTGCAAATGCAACGTATTTGTCTTTACAATTTTTTGGTGGAAGAATGGCACTAGAAGAAACAGATATTGTCTACCTTTCCTTCTTTCCTCTTTCACATCGGGAATCCAAGCTCCACTAGTCCATTGTAATGATTCCTGACTCAGTGTCTTTCCTCTGCAGACCCACTCTGAAGAGAGACCATTCCAATGTGAAGAATGTAAAGCTTTGTTCCGGACCCCATTTTCTTTACAGAGACACCTGCTAATACATAACAGTAAGTTGCAATTCAGACAGTTGTGAACATAAGGAATTATACTTTGTTATTATAACCCTCGAGAATGTAGACATCCCAGAAGTGTGCCTATAAGTATTTATATAATCTCACTTTAAATGTAAGAAAGACCAAAAATTCTGCCTTTCATCTTTTTTCCCTTTATAATTGCTTTAGTTTTCCACAGTAAGATTATTTTATGAGATATTTCATTTTACATAATTTCTTAACATTATTTAAAGTTTGTCTATAAAAGCATTTTCCATATTCAGAAAGATATCTTTGAGTTTTGTTTTGAAACATGTTTTTGTTTCCTTTCAAATATAATTAAGAAAACATGTCTGACTCTTTAAATATGCAGATATCTGGCAAAGTTTTATTAGCTCACAAATTTTCAAGTTGAAAAGGATCAGAGTGACTGACACCTTAATTTGAGGGAGGATACAAAATATTGAGTCTCAGAAGTACCAGGACATACTCAAAATTTCACAGTGCAAGGAGTAGCAAACACCTTATAGGCGCTTTTCCTATAAGCACCACCTTGTAGGTGCTTTTCCTACTTACCGCTGCCTCAGATTTCTCTTTGTCAGGGGCAATTATTTTCTTTTGGATTAACTTTTATACATACACACCATGAGGTGCTTTTCCTAGTTGCTACTGCCTCAGATTTCTTATATTTACAGGGGCATTTTTTTTCTTTTGGATTAAGTTTTATACATACACACCATGAAAGTCTAACACCTACACTCAGAGCTCCTTTTACACCACAGAATGCCCAGTTATGTCACTAAAGGATATCATTTTATTGAGAAGAACATGTTATTGCCAAGCTGAGTTTTAAAGTGGGTTCTCTGTTTAGATTCTGAAGTAGCCAGAGATTTACTACAGTTCCTGTATCTAAAATTAATGAAAAAATTGTGTAACATGGGTAATATTTACACTTCTTACTTTTAATTAGCTTGATCATTAGAAAATCTTCTATATACATGAAGTTCCTACTGCTGCTTAAATTTTTAATATTCCTGAGGAATGAAAACAACAATTAATTTTGACAGTTGGTTATACAGAGCAGTATCTTGGAGAAATTTTCACTGGTCAAGTGTCTAAAGTGAAAAAAAATAAAGGTAGTAAGATTTCTGAAATATTGAGTGGTAATGATTCTGATGAAATACAATCTGCTTCCTGCAAAACAAGGTAGTGTTATTCTCTCAGGCCATTCTGTGTTCAGCTGATAGCTCTGAAGAAGTTATTAGCACAATTTACCATTTTTTTATATCTAAAAAAAAGAGCTATGTATTCAAAAATAAAATTTGTTGTGCAATGGCAGGAATTTCTGTCCTATTTCATTACCATTTTGATTTAGGAAAATAACTGTTATGAGATGAATGAATGTTAGAATAGAGATTTCAACAAGTAAACCTCATTGACACTGTTAAAATATGGCTAAATTTGACCTGATGCTTGGGAATGATAAAATTTTATTTCTAATAACACCAACGAATTCTTAACAGAAGTAATGTGATATCTTTGATTTCAGTTTTTTGGTTCTCATTCACTTGAGAAATAGGATTAAAGTGACTGTGTGTGGACTGTTCTGTATAGCATGTGTTTAATATGATGTTGATCCGCACATTAATCATAGGCTTTATGAAGCTGCATCATTACATTTGGCCAGGAAAATCTACTTTGATAATTGAGTGAGTAAATGAGTTATTTCAGGGAAACAAAGTTAGACATCAGTTAGTGAAAAGAATAGGAAAACCAGAAATGGCTAACAGAGAGAGGACAAAAATACTACGTCTTGTCTTATACAATATGAAAATTAAAACCATTTATTTAACTTCAAAATATAAAAGTTGTTACTAGAAACTTATGTTAGCTTTCTGGCTCAAAATGTGAAGAATAACTTGTAATACTTTTGGAAATTTTTGCTATTTCCCAATATGCTGAAAACCAAAAGGGAAGTTGCTGGCTAGCTTCCAGGTACTAAGATAGGGAAAAATTCTGATAAATTTACGCAAAGAAATCTGCAAATAGCCGGACGCAGTGGCTCACGGCTATAATCCCGGCACTTTGGGAGGCCAAGGCGGGTGGATCACAAGGTCAGGAGATCGAGAGCATCCTGGTCAACATGGTGAAACCCCGTCTCTACTAAAAATACAAAATATTAGCTGGGCATGGTGACGCGTGCCTGTAATCCCAGCTACTCAGAGGCTGAGGCAGGAGAATTGCCTGAACCCAGGAGGCGGAGGTTTTGGTGAGCCGAGATCGCGCCATTGCACTCCAGCCTGGGTAACAAGAGCGAAACTCCGTCTCAAAAAAAAAAAAGAAATCCGCAATTAAAGTATGAAAGAAGAAAAATAAGGACTTCCTTGCTATAGCTTGATAAGATTTTGTACAGGGACCAACATTTTTATTCACTTGATAGTTTAATAGGAGCAGTCTTGGGTTTTTTTTTTTTTTTAATCTTTTTCAGTACCTGAATAGATTTGATATTAACATTAACATTTACAGTCTTATATCAATTGATATTTCCTTATGCTATCACCGATTATACATCTTATACGAGCAAAATATTTTAATAAAACAAAAAATATAAAGCAGTTTACAAGAATAGTACTCTGCAACAAAAATACACAAATAAAGCTCTCAGAATCCATCTAGTTCATGTGTTGTATGAATGCGACTTTGTTTCAGACATTAAATGCCAACAGGAATCTAAGAGACTTTAAGTTAGAGAGCTATAATTCTATTTAGAAAGACAAAGAGAAGGTAATTTTTCTTTTCCTTTTTTCTTCTTTTTGACCCTCCCTCCCTTCCTTTCTTCCTTCCTTTCATGTGAAGAAATAATAGGGTCTTCTCAATTCAGTGCTAGTTATGATGGAAGGAATTTAGAAGCGCTTGCTAAGATTGAGATAATCTCTTATTTAAATATAGAAATGTCATGATTCTTAATTTTGCCTTGTAGTCTATATGATATGGAAATCCGTGCTAATATGATTGTTTTCTAAAAAGGGAAATTATATTCAAATACTAGTCTGTCTTATTTATATAGTCACATACTACATGCATTTTACACTTATTATTATAAAACATTGTGTTCTAATTGTGCACATATATTGTTGAAATTGTATTTAAAATGGCCACTCAAACTTAGGCCTATGTGTTAAGAAGAACTATAAAAAATAGCATTAAAAGAAAGTTAGGAAGTACTATAAGATTTCTATATATAGCTTCTGAGGTTGTTTTCCCCTCAGGCCCAGGCTGGATAATGAGAAGAAAGTGAAAGAGCCAGGGTGGCTGCTAGTCTTCATCCCCCTATCCCAATTTAACTGCCTCTCTGAAAGACCCCCATCCCTCAAAGCCTTGGAGACTTTTTAGAACTGCCTAAGGGCTGAGTCAGGGAGCCCCCAGTCCAGGTTCCTGAGTCAGTGCTGAAGAAGCAGGGGCATTGCAACCCTTTCCCTCTTCCAGAATGGGAGGCCCTCAGCTCTGCTACATGCTCTTCTGCCCAGAGGCATTCTTCCTCAGCTCTCTACCTACAATCCAGTTCTGCCTATTATCTATTTACAGGAGATCATAGGGACAGTGGTGGGATTTGAGGGGACTTTGGGAGGGGCCCAAAGGCTACTCACCTTGTTTGACAGTGGCCTTGTGTCACTGGAGTCTATTTACCTCAAATCCCAGGCCCTGCTGTAGAAGTACATACTTTAAAAAAATGTTCATAGTAACTTTGGGTAGTTTGCTAATTCAGTCCCCACATTTTCCGGTTGAGAAGATGGAAGATGTAAGATGAAAGGACTTTGGCCTGAATTAGCAAATAATGGAACTGGAATTTGTTGTTAAAAATAATACGTTAAATTCTTAGAGCTGTAAAGCCAACATTTTGGCAAAAGCAAGTAAGTCTGGCATATATGGAAGGAAATTAATAGGACCCTCCTATTGCTTCTGAAATGTTTCTCTTTGTTTCTAAGGTGAGAGGACTTTCAAGTGCCACCACTGCGATGCTACCTTTAAGAGGAAGGATACATTAAATGTTCATGTCCAGGTGGTTCATGAAAGACACAAGAAGTATAGGTGTGAGCTATGTAATAAGGCCTTTGTTACACCTTCAGTGCTTAGAAGTCATAAGAAAGTAAGTGGAAGTCTTCTGTTAGTTTGAATGGATTGTATATTTAAGCAATGTTGGGCATATATGTTAACTATCATGTGATAATTATAAATTAAACTATCAAAGTGTTTACTCAGAAGCACAAATGCATGATTTATATCAGCTCTTCAGGAAATGTTCACTTTCTTTATCTTTCAGTAGAGACCTATTTTTTTCCATGAATGAGAACCTGAGTTAGATGTAGACTCTTCATATCCCATAGCTTTGCTGATAGATGGCTTCTAAAAAGTATTCAATAAGCAGGAGCTTATAAACTTTTATATATTTTTGGATTAATATAGGCTGTTTCTTTCAAAGAAATATGAGTAGTTATATTTATTTAATAATTTTATTTTTCAAAGCAAACTCTTATGCTTATTGGCAATTTAATAGACTGAGCCCTTTTGGGATTGGGATGGTCTTTACCTCTCTAGAGCATAGGGAAGTTTCCAGGTATAGAATGGGGACTCAATAAATATTTGATTAACTCAAAATGTTTATATAGTGATTTGGAGATTATATTTTCTTGTGTTAAGCTACTTGCCTAATTACCTCAAAGAAATCAAGTTTTTTACTTGTTCAATAATGTATTTTAGTTATATAAGTAAAATAATAAAATTTGTGTTATACCAAGTACACCTAAAAGTTTTAATGTTGACTCTTTCTTTCTTATTTTGGAGGCAGAGTCTCACTCTATGGCCCAGGCTGTAGTGCAGTGGCATCATCATAGCTTAGTGTAACCTTGAACTTCTGGGCTCAAGTGATCCTCCTGTCTTAACCTCCTGAGTAGCTGAAACTACAGTCATACCTCACCATGCCCAGTGAATGTTTTAAAATTTTTGTAGAGACGGAGTCTTGCTATGTTGCCCAGGATGGTCTTGAACTCCTGGGCTCAAGCTATTCTCCTACTTCAGCCTCTGAAAATGCTAGAATTACAGGCATGTGCCACTGCGCTCAGGCAGTATTAACCTTAGAAGTAACAATGAAGTATGGTAGTTTTTTGCCATTAGTATGTGCTACTGAATGAAATGTGAAGAAATAACTTCTGCTTCAGTATGAATTTAATTTTCATATTTATCCTTAATACAAGTGTTTCAAAAGGCTTGAATTGAGTAACTTTCTTTTCCTGTTTCTTTTTAATTTTTATGGGTACATAGTAGGTATATGTAGTTATATACATGAGATATGTATGTATATATAGTCTGGTTTTTTGAGGCAGTGTCTCACTTTGTCACCCAAGCTGGAGTGCAGTAGTGCCATCTCGGCTCTCTGCAACCTCTGCCTCCTGGCTTCAAGTGATTCTTAAGCCTCAACCTCCCAAGTAGCTGGTATTATAGGTGCCTGCCACCACACTTGGCCAATTTTTTGTATTTTTAGTAGAGATAGGGTTTCACCATGCTGACCAGGCTGGTCTCGAACTTCTGACCTCAAGAAATCTGCCCACCTTAGCCTTCCAAAGTGATTGGATTATAGGCATGAGCCACATGGCTGGCCTGAGATATATTTTGATATAGATATTCAATGTATAATAAACACATATAGGGTATGTGAGTTCCTGTATTTTTATAGCTGAGTAATAATGATATTATCTGTTTTTAGTTCTCTGAATAAAATATAGCCTTTCAACTTTCTTTGCTTGAATTACTTTTTTGCATGAATTTAACACAATTTTTTGTTGTCCTTCAATAAATAAAGGAAAAGTATAGTGAGCTTTCAAGAGAGATTTCTTCATTTGTCTGCAATAATAGTCACACAGTATATTTTGCAATGTATTGCTCATTTTAATCTCATACATTTATCCAGTATACTTAAAGTGAGCTGTTTCCATGCTTTCTTATCCATGTTTAAGGTAGTTTAGTATTATAACTTTAATATCTTTTGAAGCTATCTAACCAAAATCAGAACCTAATAATATGGTATATTTTTAGTTAAATGAAAGGAATATTTTAATTTTTTTTCATTAATATAACTGTAATATTCTTTAGTTTGGAGCTTCTTCAGTTTGAATCAATGACAGTCATGTAAATGAACAGTGAAGTACATAGCAGCAAAAGAAATGCTGTGATTTTATAAATATGTTACAAATAAATTAGTAATTACATATTTGGAATAATTCAGTGTTGTAACAATAGATATATATATATAATTTCTAAACAGCCTTATATCAGTGAAGAACAAATTACTATAGTTTGCCCCTTCTGTCAGGGAATGAAAGGAAGAGAGGTCTGTTATATGTTAAAATGTTACATATTTTACTTGAAATTGAACCATAATGTGGACCAGGGGAGTAAAGGCTTTTACTGAAGTGTAAAGATATATAACTCTTTTGTATAAGAACTTGTAGTAGAAATGAAAAGTTAAGTGGTTGCCAAATAAAAAATCCAGGAGATGCTTGTTGTACACAGTGTCCTTGGCTAGCATGGTAGTTGATTCGACTGTGTTTTTCAAACTTGAGTACAACATAAATTGTTTCAAGGAAAAAAATTCAAAAGACCCTGAAATTGACTGAGGTATTTAGTTTATAGCTCTTTAAAAAATTACAAATATGATATTACATATCCAAATATACATTTTAATATAAATTGCAAATTTGTAAATTAAATATTAATAAGGCCGCAAAGTCAATTACATTAATGTTAACAATTTAATATGGAAGATGGACATATTTTGCTATGGTGATGGTTCTTTGATGTTTTCAGGTGATGAGGTAATTGTCCACTCCTTTTCTCTATGACAGCCAGTGGTCTGTTCTGAGAAATGTCATTTAAAAAAACCTTTCTTTATTCTTCTTTCATTAGTCCATGGCAATTCAAATACTACTTGTCAGTAATTTGCTTTTACACTACTGAGAGCAAGAATTTCAGAACAAGAATTCTAAAAGTAGTCTTAGAATACGTACATGCCTGAAGGAATTGCTTTCACCTCCCCTTTTCCCCAGTCTTCTAAGTTTGAGAAACACTGGGACTAGAGAAATAGCTCAGACCCTTCATTTATTGGAATGATCTGTTTTGATGTTGGGAGAAAAACTGGTCTCCTGATGAGACTGTGAGGCCAGTTTAAAATGCTCCATCTTCCTCCTCTTTTGGGGAGAGAGCACTCTTTTCTCTTTGAACTCTCCAGCTGTTATTGTAACTTGCTTTTGACTATACTTATTCACCTTTCCTCATGTGATTGTGCCTAGATTAAAGGCATCTTGAGGACAGAAATATGCTTTCAAATTGACCGCTTTAAAACCTGCTGATTTTAGAGGTCAAATCAGATGTATATTCCTTTTTGCTTTGCAGTAAAACCAGTCTAGTCAAACAGCCTAACACTAGTAACAGATGACTTTATTGAAATTAATTCTGTCCTCAAGTGTTAAATATACATAAAGAATGTGAAAAATGCTTCAAAGTAAGTGTTTCTTGGCAGCCAGGAAGGGTAGCTATACCCCTATTTTGATTATGTGGTTTTACTAGAGTATACCAGTTTTATGTAATTTAATCATTTTCAGTTGGAGCTCTTTGAGGGCTTAAAAAAGTAAACTGCAGAACTATTTTGAAATTAACATTAATACATGATTCTAAGGCATTTTTTGAGCCAATGGGACTATCCATCATAAATTGTTTAAAATCTCATTGTGAAATTAAATCATTTTAATGAAATGTAATCCTAGAAAATAAGGATTTACGATTGTCAGAGGTATTTAATCATCTTTACCTAACTCTTTGTATTTATTCTTAGTCATTTTATCCCTTTCCATTTAGACACATACAGGAGAAAAGGAGAAAATCTGCCCATACTGTGGCCAGAAATTTGCCAGCAGTGGTACACTGAGAGTTCATATCCGGAGCCACACAGGTATGGAGACTGTAATTAGACTAGTGATAAAAACCACTTAGAGAAATCACATGCTTACAAGACTGGAAATATTGTAATAGTACAAATATCTTCCATATTAAGAATTAATCTTGGCTGTTTTCTCTCTCTTAAAGCATTGTAAAATCCAGTTTTTTCATCTAGAAGAATTTACAATAAGTATATTTTCTCAAACTAAGTAAAACATCTAAAGTAGAAATAATATTTTTAAGGTTTGGTTGTGATAAAACTGTGATTAACTTCTATAAGATTCTAATGGATGGAATTAGACTAACAGTTTCACTTTTTTTTTTTTTTTTTTTTTTTTTTGAGTCGGAGTTTCGCTCTTGTGACCCAGGCTGGAGTGCAATGGCGCCATCTCGGCTCACCGCAACCTCCGCCTCCTGGGTTCAGGCAATTCTCCTGCCTCAGCCCCCTGAGTAGCTGGGACTACAGGCACACGCCACCGTGCCCAGCTAATTTTTTGTATTTTTAGTAGAGATGGGGTTTCACCATGTTGACCAGGATGGTCTCGATCTCTTGACCTCGTGATCCACCCACCTTGGCCTCCCAAAGTGCTGGGATTACAGGCGTGAGCCACCGCGCCCGACCATAGTTTTTTTTATAGATAGTTAAGGGCATCAACTTGATTTATAATCCTTCCTGTAACTCATGTCAAATGTGGCCTTTTTACCTCAGAATGTTGCTTGAATGCTGTATGATTTTATTGGATACCAGGGTGGGTGATGTAAATGTAATACCTGTTATTGTCACGGATTGCTTCCTAAAGGACCCCCTTCTTTTCTTACCACTTCCTGTGTAATTTCTCCAATGAAAGAGAGCTGTGTCCTAGTGAAGGGTGAATGAACAACTAAATATTCTTGAAAGAACCTTGACTGGATTTTACCTATCACGTAGATAAGCCCTTGAAAAAGACTTCAAAGAATACAATTAGTTTTGATAACCAGATGATTTTACATTAGTCTGGAAACTTTTTCCAGTAAGACTCTAATTACATGAAGAACTAGGTGACTAGATTATTCCGCTGAAGCTTCCTCTTCAAGGGCCATAGTATTTGGCTTTCTTCACCTTTGTATCACCAGTACCTCACTCAGTGTCTAGCCTAATAACTGTATTGTCAATGGAGAAATGTTAAAGTAGGCCAAAGAATCAATACAGTGAATGTTAGGTATTAGTGGATGAAGGGATAACCTTGGAGCATAATTTTTAACTTTCTGACTAAAGCTAAAAACTTGGCCAGCTTAGTATTTTTATCTTAGAATAGGTACTTAAATACTTTTAAATGAAACACATAACCAAGAACAGATAGCTGTGGAATAATGGGTGCTCTAAAGGAGAAAATGAAGGTTTTTCTTAATTAGAAGTCATCTAGAGAAAGTGAGGCATTCAGAATCCAGTGTTGCAGAAGCAGAGAGCAGCAAAGTGAGAAGTAGAGAGCAGCATGTGCTAATGAGCAGCAGAGAGCCACGTTGAGGACAGGTGTAGTTAAAATTGTGCTAATGGCCGCTGGCACCAGGAACTGATAGCACAGAAGTAAGGAGCTAATGAAGAGGGTACAGAGAGTTCTGAAGTTCCTGGGCAGCCCTGCAATCTAGTGGTGTAATCCTTGATGTCACTGGGCAGCCCTGTTTTATGTGTATTTGTGGCTGTGTGGAGTTAGGATGGGGTAAGGGCAAGGGTGCAATCAGCAGCCCTTTACTCTGAAATCAGTGATTCTTAGAAGATATCTTTGTGTGAGGCTTAGTTTGCTTAGCAGATTTCATGCTATATTAGAGGGCATGTACATATAATTTGTATATGGGAGGAGGGCAAGTAGGGAATAGGATATGTGTATTATATATACGTATCAGAATAGTACATTTGTAGTAATGCCCCAAGACATGATGTAATTGTGTTATGTTTGGTATAGTGTGTTTTTAAAAGGTAGGATCTTACACTGTTTAGAATGCATTAAAACATAGGGATCAGCACAGAGAAGATGAGCCCAATAAAGTAGAACCCTTGATTATTCAAAATAATTCCATCCTTGAGGATATTGAATGCCTACATTTTATATTACTCATAGTACAGCTAGGCAGTGGAGAAGAATAGAGCCCTTACACTAGTAATTGTTCATAAAATTTTAATTATTATCCTCCACAAAATTACAATGAGGATTTTTATAGTGACAAAAATACTCCCTGATAAAACTATTAAATATACATCATGCTTTTTGTTGTCTTATGTTCTGTATTATATATAATTTAAAGTGTATTCTAAACTCCACATCATTTTATGTGACATTTGGTTATTTATTATGCGCATGAGTCTGGGCCAAATGTTGTACAGATTCTGGTTTATTAAATGTGGTTTCTGATCAAGAGAACTGGTCATCTAAATTCAGACAGCAGTGCTAAGGCACAGTGAACTAACACACACAATTTGATTGATAGATAGGTAAATAAATTATATATAAATATATGTGTGTGCATATATATATGTGTGTGTGTATATATATATGGGGGAGAAAGTGCTGTATGTGTTTGTACAAAAATTTTATTCTAATTTTTTAGCTATTATAACTAGATTTTTCTGTTTAAAATAATTACTATACTTTCTCATTTTTTCTCATTTTACAGTTCTTCTTTGGGTTCTTTTGATGTCAAGCCTATGCCCTCAGTGACCCACTGCCTAGTAGTGTGGATGGGATATTGTTGTTAGTGGTTGGTGTCTGGCATCTGGGCCTCCATAACAGCCCCAGCACAAATTTGTTTTCCTGCATGGACAAATTATGCTTTTGCTTCTCTTTTATTTGCTTTGTCATGTTCCTCAAATGATAAGCATCCATTTGCCCTCCCAAGCTACAGCCTGGTTCAGTAATTACATGGTTTTATGCAGTTATTTTACTAGTATGAGAGCAGAGCTCCGAATATTTTGATTCTGTAAATTCAGTGTTTTCTTCTCCCTGTGTTAATTTTCCTTATGAAGTCACCTGCTTTTATATAGCTGTTTCCCAGTGCTAGGTGTAGCAATTTATGAGTGTGCTATTGCATGATAAAGGTGATGGTCATGACCTATTCTTCAGGAAGTATTTAGTTATACATTATTTAGTGAGGGCACAATGAAGTGGTGAGGACCATGAGTGAAGGCGGGGTAGGGACAGTCAGGAGAGGACAGCTGATGCAGCCTCTGTGGAGCAGCGTTCTTTGGATCAGTGACACTCATGTTGTGGCCTTATCACTCCATACCATTCTTAAAAATAATTAAGGACTTTGAAAATCTTTTGTTGATGTGGGTTATAACTATAACTATTTGCCATATTAGAAATTAAAGCTATTTACCATATTAGAAAATGTAAAAATATTTACTTGTTAATTTACTAAAAATAGCAATATCATACCCATGATAGGTTAGCATACATATTTTTATAGAAAATACATGTATTTGCCAAAATAGGAATCATTTAGTGTCAAAGGAGAAGTTGTTTTATATTTCTGAAAGTCTGTCTGGTTTAAGAGAAGACAGCTGGATTCTCATATCTGTTTCTTCATTCATCCTGCTGTAATATGTTCTTTTGATTGCAGAATTTGAAGAAAATCTGGCCTCACGGATAAGTAGTTAGAAAGGGAAAGTATTTTAATAGTTGTCAAATAATTTTGTATGTTATTACAGTAGATGATATTACCCTGGATATTATTACTGCACTAAACCTCAAAAAGGGCTGATGTTTTTAAAGGCTTATTGTTGTGTGGAACCTAAAATTATCTCAGCGAGCTTTGCTTATTCTGTTATAGTAAAATCAGTTGGTCTGTGTTGCACTAAGAAAGATCTTTTACCCATGCAATTTCTGTAACATCATCATGTTACAGGTAATATGGAAAATATTGACTCACTAAGTTATGCAGATCTTTTACTTTTTACTTTACAGGATGATATATTAATATCATTGCTGATCTCACTGAATCACCTAAATATTCAGAAGCCTTCAAGCAATTGGTAGCATTCTAAATTTTGCTTCACTGCTATAATTCCTGTATTTAATAAGAATTTCTATCATTTTCTTTTTTCTTTATTTTTGTTAAATGACAGACTTCTTTTATTTTCAAAGAACAAGCATTCACAAAACGTTTAATAGCCATAATTTGTCAGTCATTTTGTTTCATAGAAAAATGATGTTTCATGAAAAAAACTGCCAGGTCTTCTCACAACTCAATTACTTAAGTGCTTTTCCCTGAGACAATTTTCATACGTCAGTATGCGTTACAAGTACTTTCCAAATATCAAAAATTGATTTCCAAATATCAAAGAGGTGATACACAAAGGTTATAACTTAATAAAATTGATATGTTTTACTTTATCATGGATATTCTTAAGTGAAATTGGCATTTATTTCTACTGTGAGTTTGTGGCTGTGAAGACTACAGTGACTAGTTATTACAAATTGAGGTCACTAACAGTTACTAGTCTATTACTGTACTCACCATTACTTTTATACTATTAGTGTAAATGTCAACATGGTAAAAAAGACAAATAATGTAATAGTAATATTATGAAAGTAGTTTTGACCTTGCAGAACTTGTAAAAGAGTCTTGGGGATTCCCAGGAGCACTCAAGCCATGTTTGAGGAATAAATACTCTTGAAGGGCCCTGGCCAATGATAAATACCTAGGAAAATGCAGTTTGTGTGAAATACGTGTTGGCCCGTGTGAATAAAAACCCAGGTGACTGGCCATTCTGTTTAACTGGGGCCATTTCTCTCACTTGATTTCTCAGTCTGGTATTGCTTCCAACTGTTGCTGCAGCATTCTTGATAATAAAATTTCAAGCTTTTGCCACTGCTGCTGCTGCTGCTGAAACATGTTAATGTCCATTGGCATTGCCTTTGCTGCAAAAGTCAGTTGATGAGTAGGTTTGCCAACTTTGACTCTACTTTTGCATAGGAACTGTTCATTGTTGGGCCGATATTATTATGTTTATGACTGACTGTAAATAGAAAAACATTA